AATCAGGTGGAGGCCTAGAACATAAGCTTTAAAAAAAAAAAAAAAAAAATTAGGCTGTCCCTCATTTGTCACATGCAGGTCACTGACAAGGGTCCTCCATGTGTTTTGTCTCCAGCAAGGACAAAGAGGAAATGCTTGCAGCATGTTTAAGCAGGAGAGCCCTATAATGTGATCTACTATCAGTTTTATAAAAAGTGGCAGATGGGAGCCTATGTTGAAAATCATGTTGGTGTCTTGTGCCAAAGCCAATGTTTTGAAGACTCCTTCAGGTCACGGGGAGGTGCCTTTCCCTCAAAGTAGCTAACCAATAAGTTGCTCTTTGAATTAGCTACCTACAAGGCAGTAACTGCTCTAGAATTACCAAGTGAATTGGGCTTAAACAATTTTTATCTTTGAAATGTTACATTATAATTGTCGATGAACTACATGTTTAATAGGTAACTGCCATTTTTAACAACCCATTGAACAATATTCTTGAGATATAGGGGGAACACAAGGTATTGTGGTGACAAAGATTTAATGGAGTTAAGATTATCAGCTGCTCTATTTTAAATAACTCTAGAATATTTCTAGTTTCCATTATAACTACACATCTGAATCTCATTCCATGTAATATAGCAGAGTAGACTGTTTGAGCTTGCCAACTTTATAGTAAATTACATGTTTAAAATTGTGCTGTTAAACCTAGAACTGTGCTGCTAATATGTCTGAAGGCGCTTCCACCGACTAGCATTTCTGCAGGCTTTTCAAAGCTAACTAAAGGGTTAACAGATTTGCTGGCTTAAGTTCAAACAGAGTGGAGCGCATTTGTGTAGCTCAGATTTTGGTATGGAAGGAGCTATAGTTTAAACAGTGTGGGAGGAGCTGATCGGGCCAAAGACTAAAATTTCACTCTATTGAAGCTATGACAGCAGCTGAAGTGGAGACTGGGGTAGTGTGAAATGTATTCCATCACTCCATCCACAACACTGATTTCCCTTTTCTGCCCAGAATAGTGGCGCAAGGCTTTTAGGGGTGTTATAAGTTATGAGGCAGTACCTAGAGTAATCAGGATATAATTGAGTCTGTCCAGCTTACCTGTGTCTTGTGTATGGGTTTCTTCCATTCCCCACTTCTGTGATGGTCTTTCAATTTAGTGCTGGTTCTCTAGTGCTCTGTAAAGATTTATAATGGGAGTGTTTTATTACTGTTCATGTGAAGCCCATTTTCTCTGGGCTTCACAGCTCAGGTTTTTCCCAAACCTGTGATACAAAGTTGTTTAAAGTGGGGGGGGAGGGGGAGGGAGAGGTCTTGAATCTCTGCAAGCCTTATTCTGGATGAATCACTCTTATTTCTTCCTTGAAAATATCTTGGCTGACTGTAGTTGTCGTACTTCTAGGCTGAGGCAGCTTAATTAACTGACTAGCAAGAAATGATGCTTTTGAGCAACTGCCTCCATACCCTCAAAATCCAACCATGCACCTGAGCTCAACCTCCCTGGACAACAGGTGCTATAAAATTGCTTCCCCATTTATAAGCCGCTTGGTACTGAACAGTCCTGGTGAATGGACAGAAGCACAGGGGTATCCTGTAAGGAATTTTCCTGGTCAAGGAAATTGCAGCATGGAGGCTGAGCCATTGAAGGGATTAGAAACCCTTTTGTGCCACACATTATTTTCTGTCCTTAGACAAACTAAGGCCCATGTTCATTTCCTCTTGTGCCCTAAACTTGCCAGGGGACAGCACTTTGACTCCATTTGATAAAGATAGTATCAGTATGGCCTTTCTGTTTGCACCAATGAGCAGGGCAATGGCACTGTAACCTATTCTGTAATTCCTTGCTATGCCTACAACAATAACGTGTTCAGTCCCTCTAACTCATTGCTCTGGCAATAGGTAAAATGTAAATGCTCCTCACTTGATGTGCCCCTCTTGCATTCGATAATGAAAATCCCTTGAAACAGCTGAACTTACTTGTTTAGCAGCCTAGAGAACAGCCCCCACCCTTGTTTTATTACAGTAACAAAACACACCTTATGCTTTGCATTCTCCATATAGTTGCCTTTGTGAGCAGAGATGCTATGTGGTGGGGCCTTGATTCTTTTCTTAACAACTTTGAAGGGAGTTGCATGCAGAAAACTTCCCTCAGATGTTTAGGGCGGCTTTTATACACCTACCAGGATTCCAACTTTCAAACGGAATGAGCCTTGAGGCCTGCATGATGTTTGATGGTTATCAACAGATGTTCACATCAAAACAGCTATTGGTGCTGTCAACCAACCAGCTGTATGCCATCCAGGGGCAATAAAAACTACACAAACTAACATGTGTTTTTTTTTTAAAGTGCAACTTGCTATAAATCAAATACTGATCTCCCATGGATGTAGGCAGTACCTATTTTTGCAAGCTAGTATTAGTCTCTTTCCCCATAGCAGTTGTCCAGTATGCATTAAACAAAGTGGTGTAGTGAGGTTGTAGACATCCATTGTAAGCCCAAATGTACATCAGTGTAAGTGCTATCTGAACACCAGCCCAGAATCGTTTATTAAACGATTCTGGGCTGGTGTTCAGATAGCACTTACACTGATGTACATTTGGGCTTACAATGGATGCCTTCTCCCTTACTCTGTAACACAATACAAGTCGGTGGATAGAGAGATACTTCAGCAGCTCCTCTAAAGCAATTATACTCTTTGGTAAGTGAGTTATCTAATGATTTCCACAATGGCTGCTTCTTGGAGGATGGTGTATTCCTAGAACAGATCTTTAAGCTTGGCTTAGTCAGTGCCAGTCTTAAATTGAATAAGCATGGAGTCCCCTCCACTCTCACTTCTGGATGTTCCAGCCTAAGAGGGAGGTAGGTTGACAGGACATTGCAGCACCTGCCCCTGTGCTTGTGTTGCTGCTGTCAGCGTTGAGTATTTCTTGTGGCTAGCTGGAGGGCTCCCCCACTTGGTGCTGTAAAACGGTATTTTTTTTTTTTTTAGTGAGCACTAAATTCACTTTTTTTGTTTTTTAAACAATGACACTAAATTGTTTAACACAAATGGGGATGAAGGGCAGCTAGGATATTCAGAACTGAGGCTGGTTCTCTGTTAACTAGTCAGGTGGTGCCTCTGTGTGAGTCAGTTTAGTCTTGACTCCAAATTGCTTGGCTCTTTGTAAGTCTGTATCTCTTTTTAATGGCATCTTTAAAAGCAGTGTTTAGGTTTCTGTCTCTGTGTTGACATGCTTGTCTTTCCATGTGAGGAAAGGGGAAGGGAGACACGGATGGCTCCAGTGTCAGCAGTTCTGTGGCTGCCTTGCTGTACTCTGTAAACTACTACCGTCTAGCTCTTGGCATATGTCCATGGTTCATCTGGCTGACTTGGAAAGAACCACTGTCAGAAGGAAAGAGCTGCACTGATGTCCTCCAAGATGGACTTTCTGGTGAACAGCCAAAGGATATTGTTGGGACGGGGGGGGAGAGAGCAGCGATCTAGTTTCTAAATGGATCCCAAATGCTTCTGCTTATATACTTGTCTGTATATTGAAACAAAATGCCATCAGTAGTGAGTTTGTATTCTTTGATAACTGACTCCAGGAAAGCTATTTGGCTGTGTATTCTACCAGCACATTGGCACGGCTATAGCTGCTTGCACTTCCCTTATAAATCTTTTTTTCCAACTGTTTGTAACTGGGTCCTATAAACTCAATCCTTCCTGACTTGACATGCAAGCCTCTTGTCAGTCAGCATGCCTCACGCCAATTTAAAAACGAGTTAACCTTGCTTTAAGGTATTAAATTGTGAGGAGTATGCAGAGACAACTGCTTTAAAGGGGTCAGATTGCTTCAGGTTACTTTGAGGCATGAGGGCATCTTGTTCAAAATCAGCTGCTGCTCTTACAGTACTTCACACAGACATGTGTTAAGCTCACATGCTTGGCACAATCGTGAGTAAATGATCTTTCAACAATCCACAGGATTTAAAGGCCCTGTGGTAAAGTCTGCTTTGGAAGTTGTGTTTCAGTTCATAGACATTAGTCTGTTGGATAAAGTGTATTTTTCCGGATAAGCCTGTTCTGTTTGTAGAATTTGCGCAATAGACTAGAACAGCTAATACACCTTGTTATTAATGACTGACTGCACACAACAATGTCTCTAAAACCTACACATAAAGATTGGCCAAGTGTGTTGTTACTCTTTTAAACAAGCTGTCTGTTTTTGTTTTTTTTATTTGATTTGAATCGTATACAAATGAAACGATTAGGGCTATGAGTGTGTTACACAGGTCTCAGAGTTCTTTGGCTTCAGCCCTGCTTGGGCTTCAGCTTCAGCCCCACATGGTAGGCTCAGGCTTCAGCATGATTTATTGTTGATCACCTGTCTTCTCTCTGTGACTTTTAATAAAAATACCTGTGCCAAAATCCTAGCCGTTGGAATGACAAAACACTAGTTAATTTTGTGACACAATCCTGCATCTTGGAAATCGATTTTAAAATGTTACCTTCTCTGCTATAACACCGTATGGTGCCTAGGTATTGTAGCACACATACTATGCAATATCATACAACTGTTTTTAAACCAGTTTGCTGCATTGGGCAGGAAGGGCCTGAGTTTAGCCTTAATTTCTAACAACTCACGTAAAACTTCTTTTTAAAGACGGTGACGAACTAAAATAAGTTGAGGTGAAAAAGGCATTGCTCATTTAAGTGTCTTTGTAGAACTATAACCGCATCCACCATAGAAGCAGCCTGTTTGCTGTGATCGTCTCAACTTATGAAAACTGTGTACTAGATAAAATTATATTGTGGTGTGTAAAAAGTGTATTTTATAGTTTTGGTGAATTAGTTTACTGTTTTGTATATATGAATTTTATAAATATTAAAACTTGACTTGTTATACTGTTCTTTATGGAGTGTTGGATCTTTCAATACAGAGCCTGAATTGTGGTAATATTTTAATCTTGTTCACGTGCTTACTATGATAATACAGGAACCTGAAGCAGTCTTGGAACTGTTAGCGGTTATTTTCTAGAACTCATGGAGGACGCGGATGAAATCCTAGAAGACTGAAGAAGGGCAAATAGTACCCGTCTTTAAAAAGGGGAACACAGAGGACTTGGGGACTTATAGGCTGACTGAACTTTTATACATGAAAAGATACTGAAATATGAGTTTGTAGGCACCTGGAGAATAATGGGTTTATAAGGAATAGCCAGCATGGATTTGTCCAGAACAAATCACGGCAACCTAACTTCCTCCTTTGACAGGGTTACTGGCCTAGTGGATGGGGGTGGTGGTAGAGGTAATATCTTGATTTGAGTAAGGCTTTTGGCACAGTCCCCGATGACATTCTCATAAGCAAATGAGGGAAATGCAGTCTAGATGGATTTACTATAAGGTGGGTGCACAACTGTTTGAAAGGCTGTACTCAGAGTAGTTATCAGTGGTGTCAGACTGGGAGGGTATAACTAGTGGGGTCCTGCATCTGGTACTAGTCGATATTTTCATTAATGATTTGGATAATGGAGTGGAGAGTATGCTTATAAAATTTGCAGATGACACCAAGCTGGGAGGTATTGCAAGCACTCTAGAGGACATAATTAGAATTCAAAACAACCTTGACAAATTAGAGAGGTCTAAATTCAACAAGTTGAAAGTCAATGAAGACAAGTGCTAAGTATTTCACTTAGGATGGAAAAAATCAAACTCCTAAATATAAAATGAGGAAATAACTGGCTAGATGGTAGTGCTGAGGAAAAGGATCTGGAGTTATAGTGGATAACAAATATGAGTCAACAATGTGATGCAACTGTGAAAAAGACTAATATTCTTGGCTGTCTTAACAAGAGTATCGTATGTAAGATGCAAGAGGAAATTGTTACACTCAGCTCTGGTGAAGCCTCAGCTGGAGTACTGTGTCCAATTCTGGGCACTAAACTTTAGGAAAGATGTGGACAAATTTGGAGGGAGTCCAGAGAGAGCAACAAAAATCATTCAAGGTTTAGAAAGCCTGACCTATGAAGAAGAATAGTTTAAAAAACTAGACATGTTTAGTCTTAAAAAAAAAAAGACTATAGGGGGACCTGAGAGGACAATGATCAATGTTCTCCATGCCCACTGAAGATAGGACAAGACGTAATAGGCTTAATCTGCCACAAAGAGATTTAGATTAGATATTAGGAAAAACTTTCTAACTATAAGGGAAGTTAAACTCTGGAATAGGCTTCTGAGGAAGGCTGTGGAATCTCCTCATTGGAGGTTTTTAAGAACAGGTTGGACAAACACCTTTTAGGGATGGTCTGGGTTTACTTCGTCCAGCCTCAGCACACGGGTCTGGACTTGATGTCTTCTTGAGGTTCTTTCAGCCCTATATTTCTATGATTCCAAGAAATTAATAAAAATGAGACCAGGGCTGTCATGCAAAAAAACTTGGGTGGAAGAGCACTTGTCCATAACTGACTGTCAATTAATCGCAGTTAACTCACGCGATTAACTCAAAAATTAGTTAGGATTAATCACAGTTCTAATCGCACTGTTGAACAATAGAATACCAATTGAACTTTATTAAATATTTTGGATGTTTTTCTACATTTTCAAATATATTGATTTCAATTACAACACAGAATTAAGTGTACAGTACTCTATATTTTTATTACAAATATTTGCACTGTAAACAATAAAAGAATTAGTATTTTTCAATTCACTTCATACAAGTACTGTAGTGCAATCTCTTTATCGTGAAAGTGCAACTTACAAATGTAGATTTTTTGTTTTGTTACATAACTGTACTCAAAAACAAAACAATGTAAAACCTTAGAGCCTACAAGTCCACTCAGTCCTACTTCTTGTTCAGCCAATCGCTAAGACAAACAAGTGTGTTTACATTTATGGGAGATAATGCTGCTCGCTTCTTATTTACAATGTTACCTGAAAGTGAGAACAGACATTCGCATGGCACTTTTGTAGCTGGCGTTGTAAGGTATTTACGTGCCAGATATGCTAAACATTTGTATGTCCCTTCATGCTTTGGCCACCATTCCAGAGGACATGCTTCCATGCTGATGCTCATTTAAAAAAAATGTGTTAATTGAATTTGTGAGCGAAGTTCTTGGGGGTGAATTTTATGTCTCCTGTTCTGTGTTTTACCTGCATTCTGCCATCTATTTCATGTTATAGCAGTCTAGGATGATGACTCAGCACATTGTTCATTTTAAGAATACTTTCACTGCAGATTTGACAAAACGCAAAGAAGGTACCAATGTGAGATTTCTAAAGATAGCTACAGCACTGGACCCAAGGTTTACGAATCTGAAGTCCCTTCCAAAATCTGATTGGGATGGGGTGTGGAGCATGCTTTCAGACGTCTTAAAAGAGCAACACTCCGATGCGGAAACTACAGAGCCCCAAACCACCAAAAAAGAATATCAACCTTCTGCTGGTGGCATCTGACTCAGATGATGAAAATGAGCATGCGTCTGTCTGCACTGCTTTGGATCGTTATCAAGTACAACATGGACGCATGTCTCCTGGAATGGTGGTTGAATCGTGAAGGGACATATGAATCTTTAGCGCATCTGCGACGTAAATACCTTGCAATGCCGGCTACAACAATGCCATGCGAACACCTCTTCTGACTGTCAGGTGACATTGTAAACAAGAAGCAGATAGCATTATCTCCTGCAAATGTAAACAAACTTGTTTGAGCGATTTGCTGAAAAAGAAGTAGGACTGAGTGGACTTGCAGGCTCTGAAGTTTTACATTGTTTTCTTTTTGAACGCAGTTATTTTTTGTACATAATTCTACATTTATAAGTTCAATTTTCATGATAAAGAGATTGAACTACAGTATTTGTATTAGGTGAATAGAAAAATATTTATTTTTACAGTACAGATATTTATAATACAAAATATAAAGTGAGCACTGTACACTTTGTATTCTGTGTTGTGTAACTGAAATAAATATATTTGAAAATGTGGAAAACATCCAAAAATATGTATATAAATATTCTATTGTTTAACAGCGTGATTAATCACAATTTTTTAATCACACGATTAATTGTGATTAATTTTTTCAATCACTTTACAGCCTTACCCATAACCTCAACGTATTCCATATGTCCTTCCCTTGATTCTGCTCTGAATTGCTTCTCCTGAGTCTGTCAAAGAATTGAACCTTTAGTATGGCATATGGAGGAAATGCTGATGAACTGTTACCCTATGTAGAACTCTGTTAAAATTCAGATTCATCCTGTAGAATTTCAGTAGCTGGTGTAAATATTAAAGTTTGATGGGGGTACAGCGAGAACCACTTGTGCTTATATATTTCAAGCTCAGCCAGGGAAGATTTTTAAGCTGGTTCAGTTGACAACACCTGTTAGAAGTCATTTCTCTTCAGCTGCGTAGTATCCAATAATAGCAGTATGACCTCTGTCTGTGTGTGTGTGTGTGTGTGTGTGTGTGTGTGTGTGTGTCTCTCTCTCTCATGATGCCAGTTCCTCCCTTATCAGCCTCGCTTGCTTTTTATCACCAGTATAGAACTACTGACCTTAGGACAATTTTAATGATCTACCTCATTGGCCTCTTCTTAGAGTATTGCAATCTTAGCACCAGCTAATTCTACCAGGCCCTGAGCAACCTGCTCTTCGCAATCCCTACAACCTTTCCTCTATCGTACTTTGGCAGGTCACATGTATAAGGGGGGAAAAGCTATGTGAGTATTGCTTTTATTGTATGGCTAAAACGTCTATTGCGGTTGCTAATTGTAGATTGACACTATATTGTCAATCCCATTTGATCAGAGCAGTACAAGCACAATTTGACTCACTTTAATGGCTGTTTTGTTAACTGTAAACGTTGGATCCCCCAGGTTAGATATCACTGTTCGGGTATACGAATTGGTTTGATTTTTGTTTCCACAAATGCCCTGAGCATCTTCAGCTCCCATTTAGCCTAGTGGGAGTTGTGGGTATTCAGTGCTTCTGAAAATCAGTTCAGTTCAAGGGCTTGAATAGGGATATTGGTGCCTACAAGGAAGCATTCAAGCTCAGATGTTTAGGTCTTGATCAGAATAATGCACAGGTAAGCACTTGGGGTTGCTGCTGCTACTCATTTAATTGTCCAAGTCCATCGAAGATGGGACCAAGATTACATATGTAATCTTCGATGGCATGTGTATATTTCACAGCTTTAAAAGGATCCTTGGATAGTCGCTGGACGTCATACTGTTGGTGGATGTCTGCAGTGAAAGCTAAACAACATCTAGTCTATGGTCTCAGTTTGCTGGTGCTTCTGTACCACCAAAGACCCAGTGAGATTTCACTATGGAGCGATTTTCTGATGAAGATGTGGTCAATTTCAATTTTTTCATGACACATACATTGTTTGAAATGCAGATCCAGCAATGGTGGTGAAGAGACCTAGATAAAGATCCCATAACAGACAAGCCCTCAGTGGCACATAATGTCAAAATCCAGATGGTGTCATTTGGGGAACCCAAACCAAAGGGACCTATCACTGTTTCATAGGCAGTTTGACTGCAGCCAGTCACACCATTGAAATCTCAGAGCACTAGCATTGTCATGTGGCAGAATTGACTGGATTTTTGCTGCTAGCTGATGGCAGAATGCATCCTTTCACACAAGTGATGAGTCTTATATTGGCTTATCGGCTATGATGACAGATAAGTGTACATGATGATGTTGGAGCCAAGCCCAGAGTCAGCATGGAGAGACGAAGTTCCTTGTGGTTCAGATCTGCTACAGGTTATCTAATAATAAGTACCGTATGCTGAGTTTGGTGTGGACCACTGGAGTGGAGGAAGTGACTTGATCGCTTTGTGGCAGATAGGCCTCAGTGACACTGGTGATTACAGTCTTTGTAGTAGGTGAGTTCTTTGACACGAGCT